TTCCCCTGATATTCACCATGTTCTTTGTGAATAATAGTGTGTAATATATATATATATATATATATATATATATATATATATATATATATATATATATATATATATATATATATATATATATTCTTTTACAATTACTGTAATACTGAAGTAGCCTTTAAGTTGTTTATTCATGTAAAAAAAGAGAAAATTTTCCTTCAAAAGAAACTTTATTATACATTTTATGTAACAATATAAAACGCAGCTTTCTTTTTTATTACGTTTTATGTGTCACTATTAGTTCCCCCTCGAATGGAGGTAGACAAAGACAAGTTGGAGCTCGAAAATTAAGGGTTGATGCACTTTCTAACGCCCCGCGGTGGGTTCGCAACCTCCGCGAGAGCTATTTACCGATGGGGTTTATACTTAATTCATTGGATACCTCTCATTATTATTATCATTATTAATTATTATTATTATTATTATTATTATTATTATTATTATTATTATTATATTTATTATTATTATTATTATTATTATTATTATTATTATTATTATTATTATTATAATTATTATTATTATTATCATTATTATTATTATTATTATTATTATTATTATTATTATTATTATTATCATTATTCCGTGTCCACCTTCATTAAAATGGGAATTAATAGTGACATAAAACGAAGAAAAAGATTATTATTATCATTATCATTATTATTATTATTATTATCATTATTATTATTATTATTATTATTATTATTATTATTATTATTATTATTATTATTATTATTATTATTATTATTCCAGGTAATCACGATAACAGCAATTGGAAAAGTCAATTGTCAATTTTTTTTTTTTTTTGTAAATATGTAAATGTTCTATTGTATTAATGTTATGTTATGCCGAATTTTTATATTCTCGTACTTAATAACACTTACATTATTTTCTTGAAGTCATACAAAATATATAAATAATGAAATGAAAAATATTACAATGCAATAAAAAAAAAATATTCACTTTTTCCTATAAAAGAAAGAAAAAAGAAAATCCATAAAATACACGTCTATTTAATATATATATATATATATATATATATATATATATATATATATATATATATATATATATATATATATATATATATATATATATTAAATAAAAGTCAACTATTTATATCATTTCAAACAATGAAATTTCAGGTGAGGAAAAAAAAAACCACGTGTCAAGTAACCCGCCAATTTTGATAGCAAAAAACAAAACCAAAATAATAATAAAAGAATAAAAATAATAATTTCCTTTACTGTAATAATAAAAAAATAAAAACTTGTACATATTGTAAAATAAAAATTATTTGAGCTGTAAATGCTTTCCAAGAGCCAAAGAGCAATCAATAACAATATATATATTGTTCGTCCTGGTTAATCTAATTTATAAATAAAACAAAAGTATTTTTATAATATTTTGGGAGTTTTTATTACATGTGAACCTTTTGGTGTATAGTTAGTTCTGATTTGAATGCTCAGATTTTTAAGCCTGGAATCACATTTCAAGTGATTATTTAAGCAATGCATTAGATTTCTGTGTGTGTGTGTTTGCGTGTGTGTGTGTTTGCGTGTGTGTGTGATTACCTAATTGTGATTACCTAATTGTGTTCACGGGAAAGAGCCCAAAGCTCGTATCTTCCCGTCTCCTGATCGGTTCCATTTTATACTTAGTGTGTGTGTGTTTGCGTGTGTGCGTGTGTATGTGTGTGTGTGTACGTGCGCCCGTGTATATTTATAAACAGCAGATATATTTCAGTCCCAGACCGGGATTCGAACCTATAACACACGTAAAAATCCATAAGTGTATAAGGCGTTACTAAACAGTTCCACCAGACGGTATAAGGGGAGAGAGATTTCATTCTCAGATATATGTTGGAGTTACTGAAGGAAGACACTCTAATGGACATCTCTGTTCATTTTACTTCATCTCATATAAATCTATATTCTATCTACCTTGGCTATCTCCCCCAATTGGGGGGTAGCCGACATCAAACAAAGAAACAACAAACAAACAAGCAAAACAAACAAACTTTATTTCCATTTCAATACAATGGGTATTCGTCAGCCAGGGCAAGCCCCAACCCCCCACTGTGGTGTCCAACCACAGCAGTTCCTGCCAGTAAACAGCTTAAACTCTCGGTCTTGGACGGGAACCGATCTTTCGACCTCGTGAATGAGAAACCAGCGCGTTACCACTGTACTAGGGGATTACTTTGCTCTATGGGCAATGACGAGGGAGCTAGCGACCGTTCAGATGGCACTGCTCATATAAATAGATTAAAAAAAAGAGTAATGGAATAGAATAATATTACTTTTTTCTCTTAAAAAAAAAACTTTAAGATGAGTTTCTGCAAATATGACTGACATTTTAATACAGAGAGAGAGAGAGAGAGAGAGAGAGAGAGAGAGAGAGAGAGAGAGAGAGAGAGAGAGAGAGAGAGAGAGAGAGAGAGAGAATGTTAGCATTCTAACAACAGAATCTAGACCACAGAATATCATTAAAGTTTATGGCACATAAAATATAGCCAAATTCTATTCTCGAAGATTACATTCAAGATTTTTTTTTTCATTATTATTATTATTATTATTATTATAACTATTATTATTATTATTATTATTATTATTATTATTATTATTATTATTATTATTATTATTACCACTATAATTATTATTATTATTATTATTATTATTATTATTATTATTATTATTATTATTATTATTATCATCATCAGCAACAGTATTAGTACAAATGGTTGTTTTTGATGTAGTTATTGGTGATGTTTTGGTATTAGTAATAGTAGAAGAAATTTTTGGCCAAAATCTTAAAAATTCCTATTTTGATTTCTAAATATTTTTTTCCATTTATGGAAATTTTTAAAATTTAGAAAATTTCCAAATTTTAATCGTAAAACTCAATTCACTGAATATATTATAACTTCATTATTATACAGTATCATCACCATCATCGTCTTTAGCATTTATTATTATTATTATTATTATTATTATTATTATTATTATTATTATTATTATTATTATTATTATTATTATTATTATTATTATTATTATTATTATTTTTAGTAGTAGTAGTAGTAGTAGTAGTAGTGGTAGTAGTAGATATAAACCATAAATTTATCCCAATCCTTCTTCGCCTATATATTATATTTTTTTTCCACTTGCTACAATTCTGAACATTCCAAAATTCTGTCAAAAAACTAAATCGATCATCTGTCCTACTTACATAATTAAATCTGCATCATATTATTTACCTGTCTCGTAAATCCGTCCACTGGGTCCTGTCGTCTATGCTTCTGTCAAAACAGCTCTTAAATCAACCAACTGTATTGAATTCTTGAGTGACAGAATACTGGACAGATGAATAATGGATTAGGTTTCAATCATTTAACAATTTTTTTCCAATATATTACTACTTTCGTAATTTATTTCTGTATATATAAAACATACTGTTTCACGTGTCAAAATTAGTCCCCATTCAATTGTAGGTGGATACAGACAGGCTGAAGACAATGGATTAAGACTAGATACCCTTCTTAACCCCCCCGTTATGGGGTCGAACCCGCGTTAGTCGCTTCCAGAGTATGGTATTCAACCACTGTGCTACCGCTGCCCCCACTTGAGTCCACTGACAGGTTATCAATACATATACACATCATATGTGGAAATATGTTCCATAGTATCATCTTTACACATATAATGATGTGTTTATTTGATGAATGTAGACGCCTATATAGCAGGGAATTGAATTAAATTCGAAAATTATCCATAAATGAAATAGAAAGGAAGAGTAGAACGAACATAGACATTCAGTAGAGTGCGTTCATTCCCTAGCTTAGCAGCAAGCTGAGAGGGTTTTATCTCTTTTATTATATCTTCGGTGGTGCAGCTGGTAGCGCCTTAACGAATTAATGCTACGTTGTAGATATGAATCCCGGCAAGAAGTTCAAAACTTCTTTCATGTTTATTTGATCACACACACACACACACACACACACACACACACACACACACACACACACACACACACACACACACACATACATATATATATATATATATATATATATATATATATATATATATATATATATATATATATATATATATATATATATATAATATTACAATAACTTGGGGAGCAGGCCACCTCCATTAGGTAACGCTTCCAATCCTGGATCAATGAAACAAGTTGGTAGCTGGAAGGGCATCCGGATGAAAAATTTTGGGCTACACCTACCACTACTCTCAAGGATGCTGGTGAGAGACAGCGACCACATATGAACATACACACACACACACACACACACACACACACACACACACACACACACACACACACATATATATATATATATATATATATATATATATATATATATATATATATATATATATATATATATTTAAGATCCACGTCACGTAGAGCTGTAGCAGGCTAATATAAGAACGACTGAAATAGTGTAGTAGCTCAGAAGGTTGGGGCAACATGAATTTGTAACTTGCGACGTGAGTTCGATTCGCCCGAGGTTCAAAAATTTGTCTTGGATAACAGTACCCACACACAAATATATATATATATATATATATATATATATATATATATATATATATATATATATATATATATATATATATATATAGTAAGGGAGCCCATCAGTGAAACAACACAGAAAAAATAACACTATATTTCAGGTCCTAACTGGACCTCTTCCCAAGCACAAGTGAAGGAGTCCACTTAGGGCCTAAAATATAGAGCTAGTTTTTATATTTGTTGTTTCACTGATGGGCTTCCTTACCATTTAGTGCTATATGCTAACAGTTTGTGTTTTATATATATATATATATATATATATATATATATATATATATATATATATATATATATATATATATATATATATATATACATATATATTTAATCACATAAGCACTTTTCCATATGTGAAAACATGAGTCATATTTTACCCCGACTGGGATTCGAACCCAGGACACATAATTACTGTACTAAGACGCTACCAACTACACCACAGAAGGTCTAAAAGAGAAACCAACCTCACAGCTTAACTGTTATACTAAGAACGAATGCATTCTATCTGAATGCCTTTTTGTTCATATTACAGTTTCTCATAACCACATTCGTGGCTTCGTTTTCACATTTATCAAATCTGCACATTACCATATGTGAAAACATGAATCATATTAACCCGACAGGGACTCGAGCCGAGGACACATAATTACTGTGCCAAGGCGCTACCAACTACACCACAGAAGGTCTAAAAGAGAAACTAACCTGCTTCGTTTTCGTATTTGATTCAAATACCAATCTAATTAGGTCTCAACAATTATCAAATAAGCACATTACCATATGTGAAAACATAAATCATATTCTACCCCTACCAAGACTCGAACCCAGAACACATAATTATTGTGCTAAGGCGCTACCAACTACACCACAGAAGGTCTAAAAGAAAAACCAACCTTGCACCTTAACTGATATACTAGGAATGAACGCATTCTATCTGAATGCCTTTTTGTTCATATTACAGTTTCTACCAACCTCACTCGTGGCATCGCTTGCGCATTGAATTCAAATCCCAATCTAATTAGGTCTCAACAGTTATCAAATAAGCACATTATCATATGTGAAAACATAAATCATATTTTACCCCGACCGGGACTCGAACCTAGGACACATAATTACAGTGCCAAGGTGCTACCTACTACAACACATGTTTTCACATATGATAATGTGCTTATTTGATAATTGTTAAGACCTAATTAGATTGGGATTTGAATTCAATGCAAAAACGAAGCCACGAGTGACATTGGGAGAAACTGTAATATGAACAGATAAGCATTCAGTTAGAATGCGTTCATTCCTAGTATAGCAGTTAAGCTGTAAGGTTGGTTTTCTTTTAGACCTTCTGTGGTGTAGTTGGTAGCGCCTTGGCACAGTACTTATGTGTCCTAGTTTCGAGTCCCGGTTGGGGTAAAATATGATCCATGTTATCATATATGGCAATGTGCTTATTTGATAACTGTTGAGACCTATTTAGATTGGGATTTATATTAAATGCGAAAATGAGGCCACGATTGAGGTTGGGGGAAACTGTAATATGAACAAAACGGCATACAGATAGAATGCGTTCATTCCTAGTATAGCAGTAAGCTGTAAGGTTGGTTGCTCTTTTAGACCTTTAGTGGTGTAGTTGGAAGCGCCTTGGCACAGTAATTATATGTCTTAGGTTCGAGTCCCGGTCGGGGTAATATATGATTCATATATATATATATATATATATATATATATATATATATATATATATATATATATATATATATATATATATATATATAGAGAGAGAGAGAGAGAGAGAGAGAGAGAGAGAGAGAGAGAGAGAGAGAGAGAGAGAGAGAGAGAGAGAGAGTGGTAGTAATTACGAGCGAATGAAACTGTCCACTTGGAAGTGTAATTGGCCCAGGCAATAATAGAGATAAACCTTATCAGGTCCCTTGTACCCTGGGCAACCCCACTACAGCTTCATAAAAATGGGATGCCCCCATTCTACCCCTTCCCTTGTGACGTCACATGAACACGTCTGGTAGGCATAATAATATATAAGATTCAAATTGGCCCTGCTGAATAATAATAATAATAATAATAATAATAATAATAATAATAATAATAATAATTATTATTATTATTATTATTATTATTATTATTATTATTATTATTATTATTATTATTATTATTATTATTATTATTATTACATTAGAGTTTTATTCCCTCCTAGCCTCCTCCTCTTCCTTCTCCAAATCAGGAAGGCTTGGAGGAAGGGCTTAATTAAATAATGTACAAAAATTAATTACTAAAATTAGGAGGTCAAGAGAATAGAAATAAGATCATCCTTCTTCTTCCTTCTCATGATCAGGAAGACTTGACAGACACACTGGGTAATATTAAATAGTGTTTTGAATAAATTTAAACTGGAAAAAAAAAAACAGGAAGATCCTCCCCTGACATCATCCTTTTTCCTATTCAGGATGGCTTGAGTAGTGTCATAATTTGAATTAAATAAAACCAGGAGGAACAACTGAACAGGAAGATCCTCCGCCTCATATCTTCCTTCTACATCCTATTTAGGATGGGTTGAGTAATATCATAGACATAAAAACCATACAAGAACAGAAATAGGAAGATCTTTCCCTCCACCTCTACCTTCTTCCTATTCAGGAAAAAACTAAGCGAATTACACACTATTAAAATATAAAAAATTTATAAAGTGAAATATAGGAAGACTGTCCTCCTATCTTCCTTCTTCTTCTTCCTCTATGATGGGCGGGACATTAAATATCGTCAAAAGATTACATCTGCCAAAACAAGTCCTTCGCAAGAAGGCAACCGTCCTTAGCCCTTAGGTGAAAAGGGAGTTCGTGACGTAAAACCGAATCCATCCATCTTAGA